TTCTCCATGCCTGTGACCATGTTTGCTTCACTCCCTGATTGATGGGCTGTATAATTAGGTATTACATTTCTCAGAAAGTCTCATTTATGTATATTTTCTCTGTATTTGTATATATTTGAAATATGTTTGTTGCCTTTTTACTTCGATTACAGCATGGTTGGGCAAAAATTACTTGAGTCCCCACTTCCTTCTCTCATTGCATAGACATTGTTTCTGCTGGATATTATGGAGAAGTATCACACTATCCCAGGTTTCTTCCTCCTTATAGCTAACTTGATTTGTCTTTCTAGGTGTCTTTTTTTTTTTAATCTATGAAAAATCGCACCAGGAAAATTCTTAGTATTCAAAACATTATTGCAAATTTTCTTGGAACATGGTTTGTAGATTTAAGTCTTTCTTCATCTCAGAAAAATGATTCTTCTAATACATTTTTAAAAAACTTTTCTGGGGCTGGCCCAGTTGCATAGTGGTTAAGTTCATGCACTCTGCTTTGGCAGCCTGGGGTTTATGAGTTTAGATCCCAGGTGCAGACCTACACACTGCTCATCATGCCATGCTGTGGCAGCATCCCACATACAAAAAAATAGAGGAAAACTGCCACAGATGTTAGCTCAGTGACAATCTTCCTCATCAAAAATAGCAACGAAAAAACCTATTCTCTGCCAACCATATATATATTTATATGCTCTCCTTTTTTCTATCAGTTCTCTGATTTTCTATCTTAGATATTTATTTCATTCTTATTTTCCATTTCATCTCATGTACATTTCTCAAGACTGTTTTCTGTGTCCTGACTAGTAATTTAGTCATGTTTATTCTACTATTGTTTCTACTAATGAGTTCATCTCTGTAATTTTTTTCTGAGTACTGCCAGCTCACTCCTTTTCTCTTTTTGTTACTTTATCATGTCCTTTGGTTTCTTCTATCCACATGATTTTTTATATCATAAAGAACTATTTTTTAACTCTTTGTTTTTGAGAAGTTTAATATACACAAGTAATATTTTTAAATAGCTTCGCTTTTAAATATACTATACAGTCCTTGTGAAATCATTAATATAAGAATATATTTGGTATATATTAACACCTGGCAAGAACCATTCACATATAATATTCTTTTACTTATTATGCACTGACTTTGAGAGGTAACTAAGTCATTCAATGCTAAATAGCTTTACCTAAGAACTTTGATTATGTTTTATGTATCTGTATATTTGAAATGACTAGCACAATGATGTTCATACAATATATTCTTGATATATTTTTTTTCGTTCTCAATGAAATGAATTTAAAGCTCAAATGCTATTACTTCATAAGACAATATGAGGCATCCGTAAAAATTATTCATCATAATATCAACTTAACAGCCCTGATAGAAGAGAAGACGACATTTGGGTTTGGAATTGTGTAAACAGATTGTTGCAGAATGGTTAGGCTACAGTTATGATGAGTTTCTCTGTCTTTTGGGTGTATGTCCTTTTTGTTTACAGCTGCACATTTCCAGGCATGTTCCAGAAGCATGAATTTATGGGATTTATAATTACCTGCTGTGCCATCCACTTTCGGTAACAGGTGGTTTCCTGAATGAATTGGCAACTAGGCATATCACAGTAGTGCTTTGTTTTACTTTCTATGGTGTTAGAAATAGTTTGCTTTCGAGCAGAAAAGGAAAATCTTTGTGCCTGAAGTGGCTTTTGACAACCCTATAAGCACCATCACTTCTATAAAGGACAAGATGTGGTTTGAATAATTTAGTAGTGCTAAAATGTCACATTTTTAAGACATCCACTTTATGGCTTTCCTAAATGACTGAGCCAAACACCTCTCCCTGGGATTTAACAAATTACGTCTGTAAATTCCAAGATAAACAGTAACTGCTCTTCCTCTTTGAATGAAAGTTGCTATGATAACTTGGTAAGCTTAAGCTATAGAAGTGAAACACCATGCTCTAGTCTTTAGCTTTTCAATATTTTCAAAGATGTAGTATTGTTCTGGGAAGCTCTTTTTTAAGTAAAATAGAAGGTGTATTTTCACAAAGCCATGTAAGTCATTGTAATTAGACGAAATCATATATATTTTTGCAGATAATCCATTATTTAATCATAATGATATTCTTATTCTTTATGTTAACTTCAAAACTATTTTTTATTAATTACAGAGATTTAAGGGTTAAAGGAAATACTAGAGTCGTGTTAGATAAGTTGATTGTGACAACTATACTGAACACTATACTGAAAGTTTGTAATTTTAAAGAAAATACCTGTTTGGTAATTATATGGGACTTTGGCAGCATCCTAGAATCTGTTACACGATTCACCTGAAGCTTACATCTCTGACCTTAGTGTTGCTGAACTCTTTATAGTAATAATAGCAGTAGGGAGAAAAAATTAGATTTTAAATTTAAACATTGAATATTTCCTTCAGAATCACCCTTTTATACCATTCATTGAAAAATTAAGTGAACCATTATCGTTTGTCATTCAGACTTGATGATTTCTGACAGGTTAGGTACAAGTTTCCATTTGTGCTGTGTGATTAGCTTGAATAACCGACCTGGACGGGAAAAGTTTGTTATCCAGATCTATAAATCTGTAAATAAGGTTGCCCTATTCAATGTTGCTTACGTTAAGTCCCCTTTGGTTGCAAGTTAGGGAAACTGTTTGTCAACTAGAATTCTCTTGGTTGACAATAACTCCAGCTGAGGTGTTTTAACAATAAAAGAGATTTAATGGTTCATCTAAGTGAGCAAGCCCAGGAGGAGGTCACACTTAGATGTCCTTGATCAGAGATCTGGCTTTTTCTTTGTAGCCATCATGGTTCTGAACTTATCTATGTTTCCTTTATCCTCATGTGGGTTTCCTTGTGGTAGCAAAATGGTGGCAGTAGTTTCAAGTCTCACACCTACACATCTCAGCAATCAGAATAAGGGAAAATATCTCCTCTCTACCTAAACTCCTAGCTGTCTCACTAATTGGTCTTTCTTAGTTTATGTGCTTATGGTGCTCACCAGCCTTGTGGCCAATGGGATGACATGTGTAAAATGGCTTGTGCCCAATGTCAAGGAGGGTGCCCACCTCAGAAGCTTCCAGTGGTAAAGCACCAGACAACAGAGACGAGTTGAATACATGTTGGAGACACAACCACAATGCTCGTTACATCTAGAACCTGGGCGATCAGTGTCATAATGTTCTGGAAAGGAGTGCTAGAAAACCACTAGAATATCAAATCTCTCTTGGACTGTGTGGAATCTTATTCTTGCTTCTTTATTTGTATTTCCTTTTTTTCTTCTTTCTCTGCAGAGCTTTCTTATCTTTCATCATGGGTGTATACATAATTTGTATGTGATACCTAGAGTTTAATTAGAGATTTACTTAGGATCTTTACTATTATTATTTTTTTTTAAATCTTACTGTTAAATTTTAATCACTGTTCTCGAGATTTACATTTAGGGTCATATTCTTTCTTTTAGTCATGAGACAAAATCTATTTAGAATACCTCTTAGAATATTCCTTTCCTTTCTGTAGTCAGTTTTATATACGTCTAGCCTGATGACTTGCGAAAAGGTGCATGGGATTCTTGTTTTGATTGGATTTTGAGAATAATTGTATTTTATTTAATTAGCACTTAAATAATAAATGCATTAGATAAAATTCACATCCAAAATTTTATTATTCAAATCATAGACCCTCTATTCACTAAATGTTATTCTTACACGTACCTGATTCTTTTTAAATATATTCTATCTAGCAGACTCCTAAAATTGGTAAGCACAAGTACATCTTATGGTAAAAAAGGAAATTAATTGCAATCCAAATTAGTCAAGAATCATATGATTTTTCTGGGTGTTCTTCAGCAAAATTGCCTTTTAAGACATTTAAATCTCTTCATTGAGTGAGAAACATGAAAAATAACAGTTTGTGACAGGCACCATGGTGATATCAAAAATGAGAATTTAAATCAAAGTAGAATTTAATAACCCAAATTATATGGAAAAAATGTTTTATCTCCATTTCCAGGACCATTAGCTGAAAGCAGGCTTTAATAGAAGAGAAGTTTGAATATGTTGTCACTCGATAGTAATTATAGTTCAGGTTTTCAGTAAATAGTTCCACAAGTGCCATTTTTGTTTGGGCAGTAATAAGAGAGATCCCTAACCTTACTGTGAAAGAAAGACTATTGTACACGGAGTCTACGTTTTCCTCTGTTTTGTTTATTTAACAATTTCTTCTAAAGAGGCTTATTAATTTTACATCTTTTAAAAAATCTAATTCACTTCCCATAGAGGTTATTTAACTCATTTGGCTATTTAGAGGAATATTAACATTTCTAATTTCATAGTACTGTTTTAATTTCTTTTTAAGAATTTTAGGGACAATACTTCTGTCCTTTTTTTTCTTTTCTTTTGAGAACTGACTTTTTATTTTCCTTTTTGATGGAAGTCTGCCTGTAGCTCTGTAAATTACCTAAGTTGGGTTTATAGTGATTGAATGCATCCCTTTTTTTCCAGCTTCATTGAGATTTCATTAGCATGTAACATTGTGTAATTTTAAGATACACAACGTATTGATTTGGTACATTTAGATATTGCAAAATGATCACCACCTCAGCATTAGCTAACACCTCCATCACATCACATAATTACGATTTCTTGTTTGTGGTGAGAACATTTAAGATCTATTCTCTTCAAACTTTCAAGCATTTAATCAGTATTATTAACCATATCACCATGCTGTATGCTAGCTCCCGAGAACTTAGTCGTCTTATAATTGGAAGTTTATACTCTTTCGCCAATGTCTTTCCATTTCTCCCACTCCCTCAACCCCTGGTAAACACCATTCTACTCTCTGTCTCTATGAGTTCAGCATTTTTAGATTCCACGTTATGAGTGAGAACATACAGTGCTTGTCTTTCTTTGTCTGATTTATTTTGTTTAGCATAATGCCCTTAAGGTCCATCCATGCCATCTCGGTTCTTGATGCTCATCATCTTTATTTTTACAGGAGGACACAGACCACAATTACTATATATCTCGGATATATGGTCCAGCTGATTCTGCCAGCCGGGATTTGTGGGTGAACATAGACCAAATGGAAAAGGACAAAGTGAAGATTCATGGAATATTGTCCAATACTCATCGGCAAGCCGCAGTAAGTGCTTTGACATTTTGAGCTTCTTTTTTGCTGCTGTAAAAAATTTTTGGCTCTAATTGGCATATGAGCATTGTTTGTTGTGATCACTTTTCAAGTGTGTTTAGTTGTGTAACTGCAATTTAGATTAATAATAGCATGTAAGATATTATAGAAAATGAAAAAGAATTATTTTGAGAAGCCACCATTACTTTAACTATTAACTTAATTAAATAAATTTACCATTAATTTCCCTTGTAAAAGGATGAGTTGCTTATTCAAAGTTGAGATTGATCTTGGATGATCTTCAGTTCTCTTGTAATACGTGAGTTTAGAGAACATTTTTAACAATTACGTTAATTTGGTATCTTCCATTTTACATGGGTTTATTACTTAGTCTGAAAAAGGTTTAACCAGAAACATTATTATTTATGATTCAGCTAACACATGTAGACCAAATTATGGATCTAAGTGAAGAAATTTGATATAAAGGAAAATAATTAAATCTAGAAGGCTCCAAACACATTCTAAGCTTGAGTTCATCCTTTGCCAGCTGCGGTTCCTAAAACAAATAATATAACTATTCTGATGCACAGTCTCCACATCTGTACAGTGGAGATGAAAGAGGATACTCATACAGCCCTCACTTCCCTTCCATGGTCATTGATATCCTATTCTACCTGTCAGGCTGAATGCTTACATAGACGTGCTTTTCAACCTTCACAAGAATCCTATGATTTAAATATTATACCATCCAGGTACTGCAGAGGAGAGAATTGACTCTTGGAAATCTCAAGTAACACACCTAAGCGTCTCCAGCTAGTAAGTGGTGAAAACTGGGATGTCAACCTAGGCAGTCAAGTCCACACTCAAAATGTGTGTGCAAAATCGATCACACTTGGTTCTCAGCAGTTTTTGGTACTCATTTTCTGATACATGCCTGATTTAATGTTTTAAATGTTCTTTAGTTTTGCTCTCATGGATAATAGCAATGATCCTGAAGCCATGTCTTGTTCAGTTTAGCATGACTTAAAGTGAAAATAAAACTTTAACCTTTCAAGTGCTATTGCCATTATTGATATAAAGATAGAACCGATAGAGTCAATGGCTGAAGGGATTGAAAGAGGCACTGATCTGATAAATGTAAAATATCAAAATTTTGGCCAGCAGCCTTCACTGTATGTATGCGGACTTTCCTGTTTCAGAAGATCAACTTCTAACAGTTAAAATGGAAATCAATTATAATTCATCATGGTAATTCACTGACTTTTCAGTGTAGAGCTCCTGTTTTCTGAGGCTGAGAAGTACCCAAAGAACCCACCTCCCCTTGCTAAATTCCATCATCCCTTTTCTTTTCCATATTCAAGCAACCCCAAGCAAGATGGCAGATCCAGAATTGATTCACTGTCTGGTTTAGAACAGATCTTTAAAAGAAGAGAAAAGGAGAAGCATTCGATTAGGACTATGCCTATCAGGAATTTATTGCATCTGACAATATTCCCACTGTGTTATGGTGCCTACGGTTTGAATGTTGGCACATCCATGTGGAGATTCCATAAAGTGGCCCAGTTCTCGTGTCGGCCCCTATGGGTGACATCCCTGGGCTGGGTTAAAATGTTAGCTGACTTTTTCTTGCACACTTTCTCCTGTGCTCTCCCAATGGTGAGGCAGTTCATATGTCCTGTCTTTCCTTGAAAAAGATTTTTTCTTTTTGGAATAAGGTTTACTTGGTTGCCTTGTGACCTCAGTTCTCTGATAGTCTCAAGAAAAATTATAATGATGTGAATGATCCATTTTTTCGTAGTGTTAGTGTGAGAGTGACACTGTTTGTTGCTTTCAACACCAAAGTTTGGTCTAAATGGAAAGACGTGAGCTTCAGCTTGTAACTTAGCTGGTGCTCCAAGCTATGATTTTTAAATATACATCATTGGTAGAAACCTTTATTTTAGCTACACTGTCATTGTCATAGCTTGGTTTCTTGGTTTCCCTGAGAATTTAAGCCATTATCAAACACTTCTTAGAGTTAGAATTGGTCCCATACCCGCTTTCCCTATCACTACCAAGAGAACACACACACATGCACACAAACACACACATCCAGGTACACACTTCCATTTACAACAATTTAATTAATAATATTACTTTGTTTCCTTTTTTTTTTCCGGAGAGATTTGCCACTTGGACTGTCATTTAAGTGAGTTTTATATCTTGGAAGTTACAAATTTATTTACTAGAATATTTTAAAAAATTTTTCTACATTCTTTCTTTCATAAGTGTGATTGTTAAATATTAATCTGAGATTTCCAAATTGTAGAGTTATTCGTGTTTCAATATTTCCTCAGTTGGCCTCCTTGCCTTTTCCAATCCTGCCTTATTCTCTTTGCTCTGTTTCTATACACCTTCCTTGGAGGGAGCAGAATCAGGTTTTAGAAATGATGACAGAATTGTAATGTTAAGGTAGTTTTATGGCCAGAGGCTCAATAATGCCCATATACACCCTCTTGCCCACACCTGCCTCCACACACACACAACACAGGCACCAAGCCACAGCTGCTCTCCCTCAAGACGTTACTGAGGGGCTTTGGCACAAGGGCAAATGGGAAATGAGAAACACCAATCAGTATTACTAATTAGGTTTGCTGATATCATAATTGTCATAATCCTTAATGCAAAGATCTCTGGTAACTTGGCTGGAAATAGGATTTAAATGTAAATGCTAAAGGGAAGAGGGGGCTTTCTCAAATCTTTTCACCAATTGGTATAATTTGTATGCCCAAGGGCATGCATTCTGTCAACAAATTAGACCAAAAAAAGAAAAGAAAGATCTAGCTAGAGGCAGACTGAGGGGCAGTTGGCTAACTCATCCAGCCCTGAGTAAACAGGAGGTGCAGTGAGAGAGCTGGAAGGTTGGATTACTGAAGATGGCGCTTCCCTTCCCTTCCCAGCTTCCTCGCAATGGGGTCAGAGGAAGATATCGGAGTGTCTGACCTGGAAACATAATTTTTTAAAGACATATGTTCCCCTTCCATCACCATCATTTATGAATGTGATCCAAACAGTAGTTTGGAATATTGGATTAATATTGTATAAAGAAGAGGAATGTGGAAATAGAGTAAGAGTTTTCCCTTTTCTCCTATCCACAATAATATCTTATAATTTCAGAGCAGAATAAAACAAAAATCATTTAATTCACGTTTCACATGGCAAAACACACTGATTTTTCTTTCCTTTTACCATGTGAAGCATACTCATTAGTACTTATACTATGTATGTGTGTACTGCAATGTGAATTGCATGTTCCTTCGAATCTCCCCCTTGTCTTTTTTGTTTAAATCTCCCCATTGTCCTTTTTGGTTTAAATAACACTTCTTAAACCATTATTGCAAAAAAAGGCAAATGTTAGAAACTAGTTTTGCAACTGGAGAAATTAAGGAAGCAGCATGTCTTCCCAGATAAAGAAAAGTGGAAAAATTTGTGTAGGTCTCTACCATATGGCAAACAATGAGCCAGGCACTTTTTATTCCCATACTGGTACTTATTTGGGTTTTCTGGCCTTTATTCAAAGTCACACAAAGTTGTCAAGTTGCAGATCTAGAACTTTCTGACTACAAACCTAGGAACCAGTCCAGACTTGTTTCTTTCTCTCTGTGTGGACCTTCAAATTCCACAAATTTGAGATTTCCTTCTATACTTTTATCTGTATTATTTATTTTATTTCTGGGCACACAGTTTAATTCAACAGCCAGACAAATTAGAATTATTTTGCCTTTTGAAATCACAGTTTATGAAATTCTGATTCAAAGCTTCTGTGAAGCGCGACTGTCTTGGTGGAAGGAGTCCCGGCTCATAGAAGTTACGTGACCTTGGCTCCAAAATTCATTGCCTTGGATTCTGGCCTCACAGTACCTCAATTTTACAACCTGGAAGAAAGGGGAAAAATTGCCTGTCTTGATTACCTTCCAGTGCAATTTCTAGAATAAAAGTGAAATAGATATGAAAGGACACTGAAAACATCAAATAGCAATGAGATTGTAAGACTTTGTTATTTGAAAGTCCTAATTCTTTAAACAAAAAATAATAACCTTCACATAGTTTAATTCCTAAGTATTCTCTAAGTGTCTCTATAGATAGATAGATAGATGCGTATCTATATATTTATATCTATATTATATCTCTATATAATTGTTTGCCAAGAAACTGCCGATGTGCTCTTTGCCAGACATAAACACACTCTGGCTTTAAAAAAAATGTATCTTTCTATATGTTGGTAGGAAGATTGATTCTTCAGATAAGAAACACCAGCAAACTGAAATGAGATACTCTTCTCTATCTTATCATAATGCACGTAAAGTTTTTGATGAAATTTGTATGGTTTTTGATGTGATGCATTGTTTTAAATTTTAAAAATTGGACTGTTCTTGTTGGGGATCCTCAGGCTGCTTGAATATGTACAGAAACCTTCATTAAACAAAAATTAAGCTTTCTGGAGCTATTTTTTTTTCCAGGAAAAAGAACATCATTTCAACTAGCATTTTCATCAGTCTTACATTGGCCTAATATTGATGTTGGGAGAGCTAAATTTGGATGCCTGTGGTGACTTTAGCCGGTTGTTTTCACAAACATCACAATTTCATTTTTTCTGTCATCAGAAAACCTGTTGATAAGTGCTTATTTTCCTAAATGATTAATTCGAAAGGCAATTTAGTTTGCTATCTCTATTAGGCCATTATGCAGACCATAGAGTTTTGCTTGAGTTCTGTTCACAGTGTCTAGCAATAAGTTATTTTTATTTATTTGTATTTTTGGCTGGTTGAACGAACTTGCTGCATTCTGTCTTTCGAGTTGCTTTGTTTCAAGTAAGACATACGCGGTTCGTCAAGCTGGCCTTTCTTGCCTTTGTTGACGGGATTTTCCTCTAGTTTAGTAACAGACGGGGATGAGTTGCATCTGCACATGTCTCTCTAGCTTAATTTTGGTTTAATTCATTCATTTTACTATTATAATTATATTTAAGTTACTTA